GATAGATAGATAGATAGATAGATAGATAGATAGATAGATAGATAGATAGAACTCCGTTCACTGAATGATAGATAGTAGGATGACTTTGTGACTTGGTGTAATCTTTACTCAAACCTTGAAATACCCCATTCCAAATATATTTGACTCAAATTACAAAATCGAGTCTATCATGAACCAATGATCCATTTCCCTCTTTACTTTATAATCGATTTGATAAGTGAAATACCCAAATGTGCTTTCGAACACATGGGATTCCTCACCCACACAATGCGATTTCAAATGAGCACCCACCAAAATTTATGATATGTTTTCCCCGGCGGTGCGCGGTGAGGCGACGGTGGTTTCCCACATTCAGCGCATGCGCCAGCCACCGGGTGTGGCTCATGAAAACCAGTCTGTCAAGCTCCCCCACCCATGCGCCACCTCGTGCCACCTCGCTCAACCGTATGCTCGTAATTTGACCACTCCCAATTCGCCCGTCCATATCCGGTTTTTCACCCAAATATTTAATGACAGTTTACGCGGAACTGGTAATGACCCAAATCTGGTGAAAACGTATTGCCTAATTTTTATTATTTATTTCGGAGAAAATGGCAGTTTGGTTTTCATCCATTAGCCAACTTGATATACCCATTCAACCAACCAGTTAGTCAAGTAAGTTTTCGAGATGAATGAACAGGTCAATCAAACGGCCGTCATCTAGGGTAAAACGAAACGAGACAGCCAGGGATTCATAGTGAGATTTCATTACACAACCCCTGAGGCTAGGTGACGGTAATCTACGCCGCTTTCTGTTGTTCAGTGCACAATCAATGTATTATGCGGAACAAAAGTAGCGGTGACATGCGAAGGAATCACATTGTCATATTATTGACACACCCTCGGAAGACCAAATGGACATGATTGGCTCGATTCGTCCCAGATACCAGCTGTCGCGAGCAACGATGCATTTGAGGTGGAAGAGACCGAATCGCGCCAGTAGGCTCAGAGCCCACAGCACACTGATTACTGAAATGGCATGAAATGTCTTTTGGAATATTTACCTTATTTTTCAAGTGAAGATTTATATGGTGAACGTTGTGTTCAGTATAGACGTAAGAATGACACGAGTGGCTCTTGCTCAAACCCCAACGATAACGCGGAGAGAGAACAAAGCTGAAGACAACAGTCAGTGTGCATTTTTCTCGGTTTAGATTTCGAAACGCAAATATATGGAACGACTCAAGCATTCGAGAACAACGCAGTGAGGCATCAATCAGATTGCGTCCTTGACATATCGATCGATCGATCGATCGATCAGACTGACTCGTTCTGTGATCATCCAATTGAGCTCAGCCCGCCTGGAGTGTTGCTAGCGTGCGTCTGACCTGACTCGGAGGTGTGCGCGATCTGACGGGTTGTTTAAGCTCCACCTCAATAGACGAAGTCGTTACCTTTGTTCGGTTCAATAAGATCCTTAAAACTGACGTCTTATGTGGTTCACCGGGTGCAGGGGCCAGTCATCATCGTGGCCAGAGTTAGTCGAGAATAATTAAATCAGCTCTGTTTGTATACCACCCGGCTAAATATATTTCGGAGGAGTCGAACGACGGCTTCTCACTCAGAAAATCTACTTCGCGACCACTTCTTGGTACGATCAGTTAGGTAGCCAAACGGGTTGTAAGCCATCCGAGGTCATTTGTTTTCTTTCAACTGACCCAATACATCTACAAATATGTGTTAAGTTGCGGAAGATGATGGTTCTCCTTTTCGTGCCGAAATCCCCAATTCGTTTTAGGATCGAAGCGTTTACCTGAGTCAGACTAGGTCAAATCACGATTGCATAACACGAACGCACGGGTATGTTTTAAAGTTGACCCAGTATTGTTAAATAATTGACCACTATTGGCACGCTAAAGTTGAAACATGGCTGACAAATGATAAAAGTTATCTGTATACACTGATACACAGACGCACAGAGTGACGTAGCAAGGTGAATGGTGGGAACAAAGGAAGAAGCTTCACTCGCACTGAAAGTGAGT